TCTAGTCAGGCAAATTTTGAAACAGCTCAATATCAACAAAGCATCTGGCCCTGATGGATTGCCCATCATCGTACTTAAAAAGTTGAATAGAACTGGCCGATACTTGATGAATATCCATATTTAAAAAACTAATAAATAGAGTTTATTCTATGATTTTCACTATAAGGGTTTTATAAAAACCGCGACACGTGTTACACGCGACACGTGTCGCGTGTCACACACAAGTGTGAAAATGAACTCGCATCAGTATTTTGCAGACTATTCAACCTGTCTAACAAGAAAGGGGGTTTTTCCTTCTTGTTGGAAGATTGCTAGGGTTCAGCCTATTCCCAAAAAGAGCAAGAAAACTCTTCCAAATAACTATAGATCAGTCGCTTTGCTATCAGTGATATCAAAAATAATGGAGAAAGTCGTGAGCCACCATATCCCCAAAATTTGGATCTTAAACGATCATCAATATGGCTTCCAGAAACGAAGATCAACCGGCGACCTTTTATCGTATGTTACCCATATTTGAAATAACGCAATCGTGAAACATTGAGAATCAAGAGCTGTTGTTACTCTTGACATTTCTAAGGCATTTGACCGTGTGTGGCATGGGGGTTTGCCGGCCAAATTTCAATGCTATAGCTTGTCGGATCATTTCTGTGTATGGCTCCTCAGCTTCCTGAATGAATGTTCCATATTATCTCCAATTCTCTTTTCATTGTAATATATCAAAGAGTTATTGGAAAAAACCACGGATCCAATATATTGCTTTGCTGACGACAGCACACTTGTCTCGACATTCCATTTGGATTCTAGGACATCGGCTACGGACTTACATCTTCACCGGCAACGTGAGGTTGCATATCTTAATGAGGATATAGATGTGATTTCATATTGGCGTGAAAGTAACCAGATTTAATTCAATGCCACAAAAACCCAGGCATCGGTTTTCTCCAAGAAGATAAATGTCTCCGAACCGAATATGATAATGTCAGGTCAGACGTCAGGTCAGACGTCAGGTCAGACAATTCCGCTTTCTGCTTCGATAAGTTCGTTGGAGGTAAAAATGGACACCAATATGTCTTGGCTGGATTCTATCCAGAAAAGAGCCATCCGCCTGATTGGGGACGCTTCATATATTTCAGATTTATAATTTCCAACTCAAATAAATGAATGTTCATATGTTCAAATTTGAAACCAGATAGCTATTTATTTAAAATCTGTTTAGACTTTTACGTTAACCAGCTATCGGCCTCCTACTAAAGACAACTCTCAAAAGTTGAAACTTGTTCATTGAGGTCTTTTCTTTCAACGTGTGATTCCTAACACGGGTTGGATGATAGGAAGTGAAAATCGATCGTCCGGCCTCGCTTGAAGCACCGATTCACACGGCGATCGATTGAGTGAGTGGAGCAAAGAACCCACGTCATCTCGACTGGCTTCCGTCCTACCTGAATGATAATAATTAGCAACACCTGTTTTTTGTGAAAAATAAATGTTATGCTTGACATTTTCATCCACGAAGCAAACAAGTTTCGAATAAAGCCGTCTACAACCGTAAGAAAATGACGTAAGTTTCGCCATTTTACCGTAGTCATTAATATGAAAATGTCATTAGACAAAAAGAAGCTGTCTTTGTCTGACCGTTTCTGCCAGATACTCCTCCTCTCCTTTCCACCTTCCTTCGTACCAGGGAGACCGTCTTTGTTTCAGCTTTTTCTACTTTGTTTCAACTTCGTCCTAGATCCGAGATAACGACTAGAGGGTTTGAAATTATTCATTCCTCTTGAAGCCATTAAAGTTTGTTAAAATTTCAAATCGTCCAAAGAATCCCCGTCATATCTCTGGAAGTGGAATTATTGTTTCACGAAATTAATGTTTGAAATATAAATTAATGATGCTGATTTCATTTTGACTTTCACAATTTGTTGAGTGTAGATTCATTTTTCATGGCAAGACATAATTCGAAGGTGAAATGTGATCGAAAATATTCATCATTAAGTCATCTGTGAGCCTCTATTTGTCACGGAAAACTTCTTGCCAAATGAGAGACAATTCCATGTGAACCTGTATTTTGAATTTCTTATGTATTGAGATATATATTTAATCATGATTACAAGGGTCGTTCCAAAAGTAAGGCCTCTCAAATGTTGGTCGCACTATTGGAATTACTGCTTCCCAATACTCAAACAAGCATAGGCACCTGTCTCTTACGAAAAATGTTTGAAAAGTTGTAGGTGGATGTCTAAAGTGTTCCTATACTTCACAGCTTGTCGTATTGAAATTCACGACAAAAAAAGTACCATACAAGGTTAATTGTCGATAGTCGATGAATTAATCAGCTGTTTCGTTGAAGATGGGTACATAAGATGGGTACCACTTTTAAGAGACACGAAATATAATTGGCTGGTTTTCCCGTGCATTTCTTTAATAAAAAAAAAAACATTATTTTGGAAATGATTTATAAAGGGGGCAAACTTTTGGAATTCCACATTATACTTGAATCTATCACTTAGTAACAGTTTAGGATGTCTAAGCTGTATTTCAGCATTGAAAAGATGAACTTTTGGTGAAGATTATAAATACTCTTATTTTATTTGAAAGGCGTTTCTCTACACGGTAGCTTCATCACCTACTGGTACACCAAACTATTCCTCAATATCTTTTATAAAGCAGTAGGCAATAATAAAACATAGATTTTGAATAAACAACAAGGTACAATACGATATTACTTCTGGGAAATATGTACAATATTGGCATTCTATTCGCTATGCTTCAAGTGCGGTAAAGAGGGACATGTAGGTAAAGGGTGTACTGAGAACGAATTCTGCCCCATCTGCGAGGAGGCGGGGCACATGGCGGGAAGAGGAAAGTGCAAAGAATTCAAGAGGGCGTTAGCTAAGATCAAGCAAAATACACAATACCCAAATATTTAAAGTTCTTCAAACAAATTTGGGACGGAAACGCGCCTCGCATGACGTGGTGTTCGCATACGCTAAGCAGAATAATATGGATATGATGGTGGTCGGGGAACCTAACATAAAGTATACAAGCGGCCCCCAATGGCTACGTAGCAAGGACAATAACATGGCGGTGATATTCCTGAATAAGAACACCATCGTAAACAAATGGGAACCACACGACGGCTATGTAACCATAATGATGCCAGACATCGGGATAACATGCTGCTCTCCCCGAACATCAGCATAAACACTTTCAAAAACGTTACGGACGAGTGGAGTGGAGTGGAGTAGATGCTGCTCTCCCCGAACATCAGCATAAACACTTTCAAAAACGTTACGGACGCAATAATGGAAACGGTCCAGCAAGGAAAAAAGTGGATCATATTAGGGGACATCAATTCGAAATCCCCCGAATGGGGCTCCCCAACCTGTGATGCCAGAGGCCAGTTCTGGGCCGAGTGGGCAGCAACCCGAAACCTCGTGTTCGCTAATACCGGGGGCGAGCCAACTTTCGTGAGAAGGGACCAGAAGTCCCATATAGATATTACATGTAGTACCGCGAAGGCGTCGATGGACATAGTTGACTGGCGGATATTAGACGAGGAGACCCTCACGGACCACAGATTTATCCGGTTTGGTATAGCCAGTACTGGCCAAAAAAAGCCAACTGCAAGTCAACGCCCATCATATGATTGGACCGTCTTCAGGAATATAATGGAACTGAAGATCGGAAACAGACAACCCGGACTGATCGAGTACACGGACGCCCTAAAAATGGCTACCTCTGGATGCATTAGAAGACGAGAGGGGCGCCTAAAGCCAGACCCTTATTGGTGGAACGAGGACATAGAGCAANAAGAAAAAAGAAAATGTGGAGCACAAAAGGAGGAGGCAGGCACCGAGGAAAACCACAGAGAAGATTGTAATTATAATGGAGGGGAGGAACTACGCGGACGCTCTGAGGGAAATGCGAAGCACAATGGATGTGTCAGCAATGGGGGTAGAAATTAGCAATGTTAGGAAAACGGCTAAGGGAGACATTCTTTTGGAACTTAAAGGTGGTAAGGATAAGACCCAGGTCATGAAAGAAGCCATAAGAAAACAGAACCCTACAAGCAAGGTGGAGCTCACCAGATCAGAAAAAATCCTACATATTACGGGGATAGAGGCTGACATGGAGGCCAAACATGTCAAGGAAGCAATATGCAGGGAGATCGGGGACATGGAAGAGGATGAAATAAAAGTCCTCTCGATGAGGGCTAACCAATACGGGAACCAGAACGCTATAATTTCCGTGGACAGGTGGATCGCCCGTGAATTAAATAGGGTCGGAACAATTAGGATAGGCTGGGTCCCATGTCGTATCAGGGAAAGAATAAACATTTTAAGGTGCTACCGATGCCTGGGCTTTGGTCACAGGAGAGAGGGATGTACAGGCCCGGATAAGTCGAAATGCTGCCTTAACTGCACCGAAGAGGGGCACATTGCCAAGGTGTGCCTGAAGGATAGGCGATGCGCAAGTTGCGGTAGGGAGGGACATAGAGCGGATCAGATGAGCTATCTAGTGTACAGAAACCTCATCGACGCGAAAGAAAATAAGATCAGGGAAAGGAAGCAAGGTGGTAGGAGGGAAACGCTCAGCAATGTTAATATTGCAGATTAACGTTGGCAGAGCGAGAGCTGCACACGACGTAGCCTTTGCGGCTGCGGACAGATTAAACGCAGACATCGTTATTTTGCAGGAGCCTAATAAGGCCTTGGCTGAGAGGCAAGGCCTGTTAACGGACAACAGAATTGATGTCGCGGTTTTCTGTAGGACGAAAAACATAGGTATTGTAAATCATAAAAGGAGAGATGGTTATATAAAATTATTGTTCCCTACCTGGGTCTTGTACAATTGTTATGTGTCCCCTAATTTACAGCAAGGCAAATATGAGCGTTTCATAGATGACATGATGAGAGACTGTAGGACGGATGGGCGGGATGTAGTGATAGCCGGCGATTTCAACGCTAAGTCTCCCTCCTGGGGTTCCGCGACCACAAATGAGAGGGGCACGTATGTCAATGAATGGATCCATTCATTGAACTTGGTTGTGCACAATGACAGAGTCGAGCCAACCTTTGTTAGAGGAGCCAGTGTCTCGTACATTGATCTGACGATCTCATCGGAGGGGTTCGCGAGTAAGATAGCGGGATGGAAAGTCCTACAAGAAGAGTCCCTTAGCCTACATAAATACATCAGTTATAGTGTCAACGCGGGGAAAAAATCTAAAGCGCCGTGCCTGAAAGGTAACACCGTCCTGAATAAGGAAATATTTTCAGCCGTACTGACAATGACCTCCCACGACGTAACACCAGATAACGTTGTGGAAAAGTTAAGCGATGCGCAGAACTTGGCCTCTGGAAGAAGTCATAGAGACCGAAGACGAGAACAACCGTACTGGTGGTATTCGGAGACCGATACGTTACGCAAGGCATGCAACTCCCGTAGAAGGGAGGTCACCAGGGCAAGGACAAGAGGTGCTGAGAACGAAGATCAGGAAGTAGCATATAAGATCGCCAAATCTCGTTATGGAAAGGCAATTAAAAAGGCCAAAAGAGAAAAGTGGAACGAGCTCTGTAATGAGCTGGACAACGATCCATTTGGGCAGGGGTATAAAATTGTCGTGCGGCACTTGAAGTACCCACAGATCCCCTACGAAATCAGCGCG